CCCAGCTCCGCTCCGATCCCCTCCCTGGCCACCCGCCCGACGGGAGCTCGGTATTGTTCGCGCCGTCCCCGCCGCTGAGGGAGCTGAGGAAAGGGGGAACCCCCGAGGGTCCACCCCGGAGCCGCCCTTAGCGCAGCCGCGGGGCTCCGGCAACTTTTTCCTTTCTCTGCGACTCGCAATGGCGAGGCTGAGCGAGAAGCTGAGCCGCCCTCTCCCCTCGTCCAAGCCCCTGCTCCTACCCCTGCGGGCTCGGGGGTGGGGATCGGGCGGGAGCGAGGGACAGGCGCGCAGTAACAGCCCTCATCTGCTCTTTTGGCAGAAAGTCCCGGAGCAGAAGGAGGAATTGAAGCCAGTCCCCGCTGCCCCTGCGGAACAACAGCCGGTCTTGCCTCGCTCAGGTCAGGACGCGCTATTTCACGATCGCCTCCGCGCGGGATGAAGGGGCGCGGGTGCCTGCAGGAAAGAGGGTGAAAGGGAGGGTTTGGAGCCGGTCGTGTTCGACAGAGGAGGCACAAAGGAAGATGTGGGAACATCCTCAATGGAGGCTCCGGCGGCTTCCCTCGTCGGGAAGGGGCTGCCGGCGCTGGGACTTCGGGAACTCGCTCGCTTGGCGCATCGGCTGAAAATTACTTGCTACTTGCACTTCTAGTGGCAAAAAACAGGTTTCTGTACCGTTCGTAGAGATCTTCTTGGGCAGGGTGGAGAGGAGGCTCAGTACTTTTTGCAACAGGTTTTAATGTGAATTAAGGAAGATGTTTTGAGGAAAAACAAAAAATCATAAGGAAATCCATTCGTCAGAAGGCATTGTGAGTTGTTAAGCGGCATTTGCCAAAAGATGAGCGAATACTGTTTTCCTAGATCAGTTATTCTGAAGTCAGAGTTGCGTTTTGGTGGTATGCCTCTGGAAAGGATTTAGATTAAAAAAAAAAACAAAAACCAAACACCAAAAATCTTTCCCGAGTAATCTTTTGTTTTATGTAGATAATTCAGTTTAAACAATTCCTTCCATGGTATGCTAAAGATGAGGCTTTTTTTGCAGAAGGGGGAAGGAGTGTAACTCAATGTATTTTAAGGACTTCTGTAAAGTACTTTATGGTGAATGGTCACACGTAAGTAAAAATTAAAAAAAAAAAGCCAAAAAACCCGACAACTACTCTGGGTTTTGTTTTGTTTAACCTGAAGTTACACTCGTGTTGCTTTCTAACCTTAAGAGCTGAGTTCTGCAAATCCTCTACAAATAAACAATGCAAAATACTCTTCAAGTGCAGAGGATTGGGTGCGAGGGAAGGAGATTTGGGGTTTGGGTCTTTTTTTTTTTTCTTGTTTCCTATTACTCAGAACGGATTGGCTTCCCCTGGACTTGATTGCACTGTCTGTGTGCAGAGTGGAGCATTTGTTCACCTGTCTCTCCATCTGTCTGTGTAGATGAAAAAAGTTTCAATGTTCTCCTAGGGAAGCAAGTGGGCAGTAGGACAGGGCATAGGGTAATGAGCAGGAGCAAGAGGAACAGAACAAAGGAGAAAGCAGACTGTGCATGTAACAAGTGCTAGGACTGGGCTGAAGATACTGTATTATCACCTGTGCAGTTAAAGCCTTTTTTGGTCTCAATAGCTTTTTGTCACGACAGAGGAGAGCCCTGACTGTGCTGTAATTAATAGAGAGGGCCTTCTTTATTGGGGCTGTTGGATGCTGAGGGACTCTGGTTTTCTTTGGAACTTGGGTTGGCAGAGGAAAAGGCAACCAAACAGTGGGTACAGTCACTTTATGGGGTTTTCCTAAATCTTGTCTGGATGGCTGCCTCAAACTTAAGCATGTGACAAAGTCTATCATCTCTAAATTGGACTATCAGGTCATTGTTTGTATCCTCTCTGAGATGATCTTGGGAGCAATTAATGTACATGAGAATGGGTCGTAGGAATTTCTCCACTGTCTTGGTTCCTGTTACATCTTTTGGATTTTTTAAATTAATTTTAACAATGGCTTTGAAGTATTTTAGGTTATTACTGTGATAAGTGTTTTAATGTTAGTGTATTACGGAAGATCTGTGGGAAAACTGTATTAAAATAGTACTGCCAAGCTCTGAAGAAAAAAAGGGCTCCATGGCCCCAAATTTTGCTTGTGGTTTAAAATAAAATCACAGTCACTGTTGGTTTTCTTACCCAGATATTTGTTTCACAGAACTCAAATACAGCAAGTAGAGTTTTGAGAAGTTTGCAAAGTACAGTTTCCATAGATGTTGCTTGCATGTCTGTTTGGAGTGATGTACATTACACTCATTCGCAGCTTTCCTTTATTATGTGTCTTTCTAATTCTATCTTTGAGCTCTTGGTTCCGTCACAACATAACTCAAGGGTCGGGTCCACGAAGACTTTAGGCTGGCCCTGCTGTAGACAGAACCTGTCTGCACAGCCTCAAACTGTCCCATTTCCATACTTGTCACGCCTCTGTCGCTGGCATGAGTGTTGGCACTGCTGTTTACTGACCCAAACTAGGGGCCTGATCCAGATGAAAAGTAACACTCTCTTTTAGCAAGTTACTTTTCAGCCACATCTGTTCTCCAGCCCAGTTAATCATATGGTCACATGAATGCTGGTGTGTCTGAAGAAGGGGGTGCAATAATTAGGGAGTGGGCAGAGGGGAAAGAATGTGGATATTTTCTTAGCAACGTTGCCATCTTTTCCCACCCTAAGCAGTTCCTTGGACCACATCTACAGTTGCTCCTGTCATAGTGAAAGGATTTTCTGTCTTATCTGGCCACAACTGTATCTTAAGAAAGCAAAAATTCAGTGTTACCTTTTTTAAAGATCTATTATACTTTCTCTATATCTCAGATTTGTCCTTTGTTCATTTGTTTGTTTGTTTTTTGTTTGCTGTTTTTTGTTGGGTTTTGTTTTCCTGTAAATGCTATGCAATGGATCTTCCAGTAATTTTCTTGGCAACATTTCCATCACCCAGTCAATGTACTTTATCAGAAAACAAAAGTTTTCTTATTCTACTGCAACAGTTTTTCCCTTGGTGTATATTTCTGTGAAATCTTTGCTTATTCTCCCTCTCTGTATTGGTACTTTCTAAGTTCTTATAAGTTACTAACAAGACTAAAGTTTTACTGTTTTTTGACCTCTATTATTCTAGCCTTATTGATTATTTTTTATACTCTGCTCCTCACTTTCTTCAATTTATCTGTGTTCTTTTTGCAGAATGAGATCTGATATTCCCCTTGTTGGTGTTGATTCATCTCTCTTTGTTGCCTGAAGTGATATCTGAGCATGGGCAGACAAAAGTTACATCGGTCACTTTGTGGAAGAATTTGCTTTGCAGACAGCTCTCTCATTTGTTCATCATTCTCACTCTTGCATGTCTTTAGCTCCTGCTTCTGTCAGGGCTTTTTCCTTGATTCATCTCTGGTTTTTTCATTGTTATTTCTTCAGTTTCTTTGCATTACTTTTTCCACATAATCTTCTTTGTCCACCTTGCTTCTCTTGTTTGGTTTTGAACACACTCTTGTTTTGTTTTGTATCTGAATCCCTTTGAACTGTTCCTTTCTACTGGTGTTTGTAAACTTCATTCTGTGTCATCTGCAAGTTTTATTAACTTTCCTTTTATTCAGTCTTAGATATCTAATTAAGATGTCCAAGAAATCTAGACTGGCAAAGATCTCTACAGCAACCCAGTAGATGTCCCCTATACCTGCTGGTTGCATTGGTATATGTCATTCCACTTGGTTTTGAAGCCATTAGTTATTTTTCTAATAATATGAGCAGTACTCTTCAAAGCCAATTTGACGTAATTTTTCAGCTATGGTTTCCTTGGAGAGTAGCAAATGCTATTCCAAATCTAAACCTGTTACATCATTCACTGTATTCTTTTAATTCCCTAACTTCATGGCAATTCTGTCCTCCTTTGAGGAGCAATCAAGTTGGTCAAGACCTACAGTAGTATATGTTCCTGTCTCTCTCCAACTTCTGCATTATGCCCACCACTGTGCTAAATAAATGCCCAACATGTTCTTTGGTAGAGCCTTGTAAAAAGTCAGGAATTTGCATGCATGGAGTTCATTACAAGATCTGAGACTAAATTATTAGATGGAGTTCTTTAGGGTTTGGAGGTGGTGTTTTGGGTTCTTGGGGTCTTTTTTTGGGGTGTGTTGTTTTTCCTGCCCCTTGGTCCTCGTTTTTCTGCAGATGATACAGTCGCTCTCCTTTGTTTTTAACACCATATGAATTAGACGTTTTCCTGCTCGGGAGGGGCAGGTTTTCCAGTTCCTGGTGCTACTAGCTGAGTCACTGGCTCTGTTTTTCTGTTCCATTGTAGATTTATAATTACCTTGTTCTTACCTTTGTTAGAATATGATTGCCAAAGGGTAGGTGGTTTACTTTGCTGTACTTCTGAGGCATGAGTGTCAGTGGCTTTTTCAGAGCCTGGATACAAGCCTTCAAAGCATCTGCTTTGCTGTTGCTAAAATGAAAATAAATTAGCCTAAAAGTGAAAATAAATTAGCCTAGTCCTCAAAGTGCCTCCCTTCAAACAGTATGGTAACCATTAATTACAGATGTCCAGGCAAAATCTCATCTCTTGTAAGCAGGACTGCTTTGACTGAAAGAGGAAAAGTCAAGCAAGCACTGAGCGTATGTATATTGAAATGGAAATGAAGGATTTGCTGGTGTGTCTTAAGTTCATCATGTCTGATCATACTTCTCCATAGCAGGTCCTTGAAAGAAAACTCACCAACACCAGACTAGCAGGATTTAGAGAGGTTCTCTTGGTTTGAAAATCTTGCCAGCTTAGGGAAAAAGAGAGGGTTGTATAAGAAGATTTGCTCCGAGTGCATTCACTGCTCTTTGATTTGCCTTTCTAAAAACAAATAAGTAAAATACTATTTATTTCCCTGCCCCTGTTTGTTTGTGAAGGATTGATTCAAACACGAGAAAGTAACTGTGCAGGAGAGACAATGTAAATCGCCGTTTCTATCCACCCAGTAAGCTAACTGAAAAATAGAGAAGCAGCATCTTTTTCCACTGTTTTTGATCACAGGTTTTATTTGTAAAAACTGGAGTCAAGTTTATGGCTAGCTGTGTCCCTTTAAGAATCTGGTTTTGCTTGGCTAGCTGCCCTTCTTCTCCTGCAGATTAATCCGGCAGAAGGTATATAACCTGTTGACCTTCCTGGTGAGAAGGGTCTGGGAGGGCAAAGAGATAAATTGGAAGGTTCGTGCTTTCCTGTAATATTTGGGCGGCAAGTTTAACCTGTGTTTTTTTCCAGTTTTTGGCATTTCATTTTTTATCTTTTTTTTGCTTAGTGATTCCTGGTTTTGAGGGTTGGGATTGTACTTAAACATTCTCATGATTTTCACTTGCTTTCTGTGAAATTCCTATATGTTCAGCAGTTTGGAAATGACAGT